ATTGAAATTGATTTTAATTTAATTGATATTGACTTTAATTTAAATTATTATATTGAAATTAGTTTTAATTTAAATTATTGAAGTAAAAATAATCTTGATTTGATAGAAATTGATTTTGACTTAGATTATTAAATTAAAATTAGTTTTGACTTGAATTATTGGAACTTTTGTTCGAATTATTAAATTGAATTTAACTTTAACTTACTTAGATTATTAGATTAAAATCATTTTTTACTTATATTTTTACGTTAAAATTTGCTTTAATTTGAAGTATTAAATAAAAATTAATTATTTAAATTATTAGACTGATCAGTGGACACGCATAGATTTTCACAGGAGTGTCAATACCCTTCTAATAAGGATAGTGATCTGCAATATATATTGACTGCAGGGAAGATTAATCCGCATAATTCTTAAACCTACGAACCCAAGTTCACCATTGCGGACACACACACAATGACATATTACACACATACATAAATACACAATTGGGGATTGGGGATTGAGGATTGGGGATTGAGGAATGGGGATTGAGAATTGGGGATTGGGAAAGAGTATTGTTTTAAACATCTCTCTTTCCTTGATTACATCTTGTAATCAAAATTTTCATAACATCCGTTATGAAAATGTCGGTGTGTCTTGGTGTTTGGAAATGATAAACAGCAAATCTACAGAAAGAATCAACGCGTCTCACTATTGTGTACAGGTAAATATTATATTGTGTGAAATACATGTAGTGAAATACGTTATCATAATTGTATTTCAGTAATTAAGAATTTATTTTACATTTCGGTTTCAGAATATATTGTACACTTACAGAGATAAGAATAATAAGTCTGACACAAAACTGAATAAGACTTTATGCGAGGCGCATAAGAAAGAATTAATTGATACGATTCTGTCATATTTGTTAAATTGGCTTGCTTTGGTGTCTGGAAATTATGAACAGCACGTCTACAAAAAAAGTCAACGTGTCTCACTATTGTGTACAGGTAAATATTATATCGAGCGAAATACATGTAGCAAAATGTTATCACGCACATATTTCAATAATTTAAAATTTATTTTATATTTCGATTTCAGAATATATTGTACACTTACAGAGGCAAGAATAATAAGCCTGATTCAAAACCGGATGAGAATTTATGCGAGGCGCATAAGAAAAAAATTGACACGATTCTGTCATGTTTGCTGAATCAGCTTGCCTTGGTGTCTGAAAGTGATGAATAACACATCTACAGAAAGAGTCAACGTGTTTTATTATTGTGTACAGGTAAATATTATATCGAGCGAGATACATGTAGCGGAATACGTTATCATAATTGTATTTCAGTAATTAAAAATTTTTTTTACATTTCGGTTTCAGAATATATTGTACACTTATAGAAGCATGAATAATAAGTCTGATTCTCAAAACCGGATGAGGCTTTATGCGAAGCGCATAAAAAAGAAATTGATACGATACAGAAAATTTGGAAACACGAATAAATACCGCCGTATATGTAAACATATGAAATGTATACATGTAAATGTATTAAACAAATATGTATACATCGCTGTACAGACAATAAATGTAAATTTACAAAAATTATATTATTTTTGTATTATTAATTTTAATTAAACTTTACTACGAATATAAAATTTTTAACAATAAATAATAGACTATTTTTTTTATAATTTCCACTTTAATTTTATAATTTATAATAATAATAGTTATTTCAGGTATAATTAGCATTCGAGCAATTCATCGAAACATTGCTATTCAGTAATCGCACATTTATATATAATCTTTTATTGTGCTTCTACCTAGGCCATTCCTAATAAGAGTGAATAATGTATACAGTTCTTTTGCACATCTAACAAGTAACACTACTCAAGTGTCACAGGCCATTTTTTTTGAAATTGTATACACATGTAGAACTTCGAAAAATATTTTTGTCGTATTTTTTTATTTTTGCTTATGAAGCGTTTTAAGAGTAGGGACTATCCTTGAAATATTAACCTTCTCAATCCTATATACGTCATCCTAAATGGTTTTTGCACCAGAATACTATCTCTAGGAATTTTCAAGGTTTTCTGGTTCGTATTTTTACAACAAATCGACGTGCATGGCCTAAAGAATTGTTATACATAGAATTGAGAAGGTTAATATTTCGGGAGTAGTTTCTACTCTAAACGCTTCATAAGCAAAAATTAAAAAACACGACACAAATATTTTTCGAAGTTTTACATGTGTGCATAGTTTCAAAAAAATCGGCGTATGACATTTGGGTAGTGTTACTTGTATAGGTACAACCCGAGGCCCTATAACCGTTGATACGTCGATGGTCTACCGAGAAACATGGCGGAAAATCGGAAACCAAAAGATCAAAGGTGCCGACAGAGAGTGAACATACTGATTAAGCCCCTTGCACAAATGCCAGGCAACAGGGCAATAGGAACAGGAAATAACGAAAAAATCGTTACAATTACAACCTAAAAAATTTGAATGCTATGACTGGTTGACAACAAGCAATAGGCACAGAGTTTCCAACGTGACGGAATGTATCATTGTTTATACTGCATTTATACATGATTTCTGATTTCTATTCCTTGTTTCTATTGTCTGTTGCTTGACATTGTGCAAGGGGCTTTATACTGTGCCCCGGGTTCCCTCCATGACAATTTGCGCGTTTAGCAGATACAATTGTTGAGTTCAACACTCTTCTTATCAACACTCTGCGTTGATTGGAGTGAAGGGAAAACAGGAAGGGTTTTGGGAAAAGATAAAAGAGTGGGATGTCGTGAGGTTGGTGGAGACGTAGTTGGAACAGGAGGAATGGGAGAAGATGAAGAATAGGGTGCCAAAGAAGTTCAACAGGGTGCAAAGAAAGAAAGAGTTGGAAGAAAAGGAAGAGCAATACGTAGAATAATGATGCGAGTCAGAAAAGGGTTAGAAGAGGAAGAAGAATGGGAGAAGAAGGAGGGTTCAATGATTAGAAAAGTAAGATGGAAGAAGGAGAAATGGAGATTGGCAACAGTTTACGTAAGCGGCAACTTGGGCAAAATCATGGGTAAGATAAAATCGGTGAAAGAGGAGGAAAGGAGAGAGGAGAGATGGATAGTGGTGGGCGATTTCAATGCGAGAACAGAGGAGAAAGGAGCGCTGGAGGATGGAAAAGAGGGAGTTGAAAAAAAATCGAAAGATAAAATAATAAATAGGTAGGGGGAAGGGCTGATTAGATGGGTAGAAGAGGAAGGATGGGAAATTATGAACGGAGCAAAGGAGGGAGATGAGAAAGGGGAGGTGACTTTTACAGGAGGAAGGGGGAAACAGTGATTATGCAATTACGCAATAGGAGATAGAAAAGCTTGGGAAAGAGTGACAAGATTGGATATGGGGTGTGAGGTAGATTCGGATCACCAATCCGTAGCAGTACGGGTGGACAAAGGGGGGGGGTTGGTGAAAGGAGAGGGACAATAGCGGAGGGAGAGAGGTGGGTGAAAAAGACGGATTGGTCGAAAGAAGTAAGAGAGGAGTTTAGAAGAAGGACGGAGGAGGTAGAAATAGGTAGGGAGACAATAGATAAA